GGCCCGGGGGCCGCCGCTGCCGCCGCCGCTTCGCCCCGTCCCGGCACCGGAGGCCAAGCCTCGCCTAAGAGATCCGAGCAGGCTCGCTCACCACCCCTTTCAGCTCCAGCCACCAGCGCCTCCACCGCTCCCGCCCCTGCCCGGGGGCGTCCGCCGCGTGCCCCGCCTCACTGAGGGCAGACGCGCGGGCCACCCGGGTCCCCGCCCCTCGTAGCCGCTCAGCGCGGGCGCCGGAACCACCCGCCTCGCCCGGCCTCCTCGCGACGCACCCCGGGATCCGCCATGCGGGTTGAGGGCAAGAAGCGAGGGCGCACGCCCAGCTCGCTCGCCGCGCCGCTCAGTCCGGAAGTGACTGCGCCGCGAAGGCGCCTCGCTCCCTAAGCTTGATGGGATTGGAGGCTGCGGGTGAGGTCATCACTAGGCGCCGACCGGGGACGGGGAGCCCAGGTATGAGGCTGTTGCTAGTGGGTACGGTCTACTCTCTAGTGTTTTTCTTTTTCTCTTTTTCAACTAATGGCCTTCAGTCGGCTGTCCTTGGCCTCTCTTCCTACGGAGTTTCCTGTTTCATTTGCTTCCTGCTCAATCGACAGCTTGCGTATGACACTTCCCCTTTTTTGCTAGGTAATTAGTTCCTGCACCTTTACTTCGATTGGACCCATTTTCTTTACCTTTGGGCAGTTGAGGACCTCTTGTCTTGGTCAGGTTAGATACACTTTCTTTGTTTCTTTATTTATTTCTGGTTTTTCGACACAAGATTTCTCAGTGTAGCCTTGGCTGTCCTGAACTAGCTCTGTAGCCTCGAACTCACAGAGATCCGCCTGCCTCTGCCTCCCGAGTGCTTAGGACTAAAGGCGTGCGACACCATCGCCCGACTCAAGTTTTATTTTTTTACTCTGGGCAGTTGACATAGTCTTTTCCTGGACAGGACCGTAGGGACTCATCAGAACATCTGTACCAGTACTCCACTTACTTAAAAGTAAGGTGACAAAATTTGAACAACTCTGGTAAATATGCAACCAAAAACAAGATAACCTCAAAGTGTCATTTGAATACTAAGTGTCACAATCTTTTTGGACAAAATGTAGTGCGCTCAGATCCATCTCTTAGTAAAAAGAGTAAGGAAATGTGGTGTGTGTGTGTGTGTGTGTGTTTAATTTCTTAATCCCAATAAAATAAAGGCATAATGATAGTTTCCAGGTAGGAAAAGAAATCCTGCATTATTTAGTCATACTACGTTTCCAAAATTTAAAGTGCATTTAAAAAAAGAATAATAGAGGGATGGAGTGGTGGCTGAGTGGTTAAGAGCACTTGCTGCCCTTGCAAAGACCTGGGTTCATTCCCAGCACCCATGTGGAGCCTCAAGGCCATCTGTACCTTCAGTGTGAGGTGAGCCAAGCCCTCTTTTGGTTTCATGCATTCCTGGGGTGTACATGCCATACACATAAAGTAAAATAAAAGAAGAACTGCAGTGTGAGCATGCATTATGTCAGGTATTTTAACCTGGTATTTATATACTTCTCAAGACAGCTCTACTAAGTGATTATTATAATAATAGGGCTCACAGACTTAGTAGTCAATCCCAGTGTCATGCAATCTTATGTAGTAAGAAATCGACCTGAGATCCACCTATGTGTATTCACTTCCTGTTTTTTAGTCAAAAACAATGGGCAGTAACTACTTCCCTACTCTGCTATAATTACATGCTTATTACTTAACAATCCTTCCTCAGAATGTCTTTCACTAAATTAAGTAACCCAAATTCTTGTCTGTTTTGTCAATGCTGATGCCACAGTCTTTTAGTTGTTTTGGTTGTTACCAGTTTCTCCACGTCAGGACTAACTTTAGAAAACCCAAATCTATGAGAAAGTGTTGACCCACACATTATAGTAATGACCATTTCTCTCCGTGGTAACTGAATGTTGAACCAAATTGTGTCTGAATGACAATTACATTTCCTTTAAATCTGGTAGGTCTCAAAAGGAGGTAAAGAACTATACAGAATGATTAGATTGAGAGGCATGGACAGGGCACCCTGGTACAAAGAGACTATAGTTCTAGCTACTTGGGAACCTCAGGTGAGAGATCACATGAGCCAGGAATTTGGGACCAAACTGGATAAGACAGAGTCAGTCAGTTTCTGCTTCTCCCTCTCTCCGAGGCTTGTGCACTCGAATAGCAGAAATTCATAAATAAAGGTATGACTGAAGAAAAACACTGATAATAGAGATCATTCATTTATCACATACTTTGAAAGCCTTTATCTTGTCTTCCTTAAGACAAATCGTTGAAGGATCTAATGATATCATTCTGTTCTCCTTCCCTCCCCCTAACCCCAGAATGAGTTTCTCTGTGTGGCCCTGGCTGTCCTGGAACTCACTCTAGACCAGGCTGGCCTCTAACTCAGAGAGATCCACCTGCCTCTGTCTGCCAAGTGCTGGGATCAAAGGTGTGCGCTACCACCGCCCGGCTGTTGTCCCTTTACCCATTATTCAGATCACTTTTAGTGGCATATTATCACTCAACTAACATTAGGGTAATATCAAAGTAGAAAAGGTTGTCTTTATCACTCTCTTGTTTTCTAGTTACAAGTCTTTCACCTACTTTTCATGAACCACACCTTGTCCCCTTTCCCCCTGTCATTATGTAGTCCACCTGCTTGGAACGGCTCCTTGTGGCATTGCACCCTTTAATAGAATGCTCTTAACATACCCTCCTTTGTTCTTCTGCACTCATTAGGAGTTAGAGGAAATGATCTATTATCTAATTAAAGTAATCCATAATTGGATATGAGGAAATTCTGTGCTTTACCCTTTAAGCAACTACACAGGAAAAGACAATTGTATTGACTTGATAAACGAGTGAGAGAATATTGACATTAACCTAGTTCTACTAGGTTGTCCAGTCCAAGTGTGCAAACTCAAGAACAGTGGCTTGCAGACAACTCACTTCTAGATTGTTTTGACGTAGCTCTTAAATACATTTTCCCCATAGTCATTCTGCCCTAACATTCTGAGTGGTTGACCTTTTTTTTCCCTCGAGGGTCTCAGTATGTAACCCAGAGTGGCCCAGAACTCAAAACCTTCCTGCCTCAGCCTCCAAGTGCAGGATTACAGGTATGTGCCACCATTCCTGGCTGGTTTAACACTTTTAATAATGGCCTTTGGGTATGTTTTGTAGACCAAGTAAATAAATGATTTTGAAGGTTGGATCACAAATGAATATTATACATGATAATTGTTGACTGGCTACAGTAAAAAGCCTCACTGAATATTTATTTATTCTAACAAAAAATTTTAGCTTTATTTATTTGATATGAATGAGTAAATAAGCATAAGTATGCAAGTATTTGTGTGTACCATGTGCATTTCTGGTGCCCTCAGAGATCCAAAGAAAGCACTGGATCCCTGGAATTGGAGTTACTCTGATTGTGAGCCAGGGTGCTGATAAACGAAGCCAGTCATCTGGAAAAGCAACAAATCCAGCTCTAACCACTGAGCAACCTCTGTAGCCCCAAATGAATATACACATTTTTGAGGCTTTCCTAACCTTTTTTTTAACAGTCCCATTAATAGCTCTTTATTATTTTTCTGATTATGTAAGTGATCAGTGAATAGCCATGTGATTTAGTCTGGAAATTTAGTATCATTGTGCGCCCCCACCCCCACCCCCTCAGTTCTTGGATCTTGTGGGATTAAAGAAAAGATTTACTACTAGATCCATTATGGAAAAAAATGATCAGAGCTGTATTGCTTATAATAGTCCTTTTAACTATAAAATCTGTTCATTGACTAACTTCTCATGCTTTGGAGTAGAAATTAGCCAAAAGTATCTTTAAAATTGCATCAAACTCTTCCCCCGCCTCTCCCCCCAAAAAAACCAAAACCCAAAAAGAATAAGATGAGGAAACTTGCAAAAGCTTGCACCTGCTAGTATTTATTTATAATATATATTATTTATATTTATTTATTATAATTAAATATATTTATTATATATGTGTGTGTGTGTGTGTGTGTGTGTGTGTGTGTGTGTGTGTGTGTGTATGTGTTTTCCTGTGGATAGATGTGTACCAGAGAAGCAGAAATACTAGACACAGCTTATGTTTACCGAGAGTTCTGTAGAATGGTCTTTAAATGTCTTTTGAGAGGAGAGGGCTGTTGTGGGAATTCGATCCATTCAGCCAATGGTGTTGGGATTACTAGCCCTATGGGGCATGGTCTTCTTGGAGTATGTGACCAAATAAGAATGGAGGAGAGGGGTCTCACGCTCTCTCCTGGGTGGTCGGAGCAGGAGCAAGCAGCGGAGAAGTGTGGCTTGCAGCTGGTTCCCATCACCCTTGGACAGGAGAGCAGGACGACAGCTGGATTAGCAGCGGCGTCTGCTTTGTTCTGTGTCGTGAGTGTATCTTACTGATTTCATTTCCCTAATAAATTTTACCTGGCCCATTGCATCAGTGTCCCACTTCAGAGGGCAAGGGGATAATTGTGGTTTTAGGTTATCTTTAAAAACTGTTGAAATGTCGTTTATTTGTCTCAGAGCATCAAGCTGTTGTATAAAATCTGACACAGATTTTTCTCCCTCTTCACAGAGTTTCACAGGCCATCATGGCAGTCAAATGGACTGGTGGACATTCTTCTTCTATCCTCTGCCTGAATGCAAGTAAAGATGGGCTGGTGGCTTCAGGAGCAGAGGGTGGAGATCTTGTGGCTTGGGGTGAAGATGGGACTCCATTAGGCCACGTGCGGTTGGAAGGGGCCAATGACGTCACCAGCATCTTGTTTTCTCACTCCTGCCCCACCACGCTCTATGCCTCCCACGGAGAAATCATCAGTGTACTAGATGTCAGGTCTCTTAAAGGGTTGGTGGACCATTTTCATGTGAATGAGGAAGAAATCAATTGTCTTTCACTAAATGAACCGGAAAGCCTGTTGGCTTCTGCCGATGACTCTGGGGCGATCAAAATCCTGGACTTGGAAAAGAAGAAAGTTACCAGATCCCTGAAGAGACATTCTAACATCTGTTCCGCTGTGGCTTTCCGACCTCAGAGGCCTCAGAGTCTGGTGTCGTGCGGCCTGGATATGCAGGTGATGCTTTTGCAAAGAACATTTGAGTAATTTCTGAGCAGGATTTGCTAACAAAATCAAGTATGTGTTTAGTTGGTTTCCTTGGCAGTTCTGGGACTTGAACTCAGGACTGGTACATGATCAATATGTACTCTACCACTGAGCTGTATCCCCAGCCCCTAGAATCGAATTATTCAGCAAGTATTTTCTATTCTCGACTAACATTTCTTACCCCATTATGAACCATAGCCTTACGTCTCCCGTGCTAGCCTGACAGAACCTACTGTATTTTATTCAGAAGTCCTTTGTCTTCCTTTGTCCATCCTTAAAGAAATCCTGACCTTAGGATTCAAGTACCTGATTCTAAAAATTGCCTTAAACAAACAAGGGGTAGCTTTATGTCAACTTAACAAAACAAACAAAAGGGAGCTGAATGTAGAGTTGATCCACACTCTAGAAACCCTTTTTGTTGCTGTTGTTGTTGTTTTTCGAGACAGGGTTTCTCTGAGTAACAGCCCTGGCTATCCTGGAACTCGCTCTGTAGACCAGGCTGGGCTCGAACTCACAGAGATCCTACTGCCTCTGCCCCTGAGTGCTGGGATTAAAGGCGTTTGCTACCACACCCATCTTCTAGACACTCTGAGTGGCTTAAGTGTGTACATGTGGTGGTGGGAGGGGGAGTAAGAAGGTCTCTTCTTACTTTAACATTTGAGATATGTTGATTGAAATGTGTGTGAGTGACCAGAAGCAGAGCCCTCTCTGCAGTGCTGGGCTTTGAAAGCAACATCACAAATTAGCCGGAGTTCAGAGGAGACTACTAGGAAAGAGATGGAGGTAAAGCTGGTGGGGGTTCATTTTTTCTTCTCATGGGAGCAGATCTTGGATTAATGTGAGAGTTTTTAGATAGCTTGCACTTTCCATAGCAACTGTCCTTCCTCCTGCACGAGAAAAATCTCATCACCAGGGTTGAGTGCTCAGGACTTGAAGTGCTCTGCACATATTAGTCTTCATTGTACTCATGCCTCCTAATTACTGTCCCTTCTAAATGTAATTTCATTTTCTGTGTATGGATGGTTTGCTGCATGATGTCTGCACTTCTCGTGTGCCTGGTATCTGTGCAGGCCAGAGTTGGGCATTGGATACCCTGGAGCTACAGTTACAGACAGTTGTGAGCTACCACATGGATGCTGAGACTTAAACCAGAGTCCTCTTGAAGAGCAAACAGCTGGCTTAACTGCTAAGCCCTATCACTAGCTCCCTGTTGTTCCTTTCATAAAATTATTATTGTAAATGAACCATCTAGCTAGAAACAGACTTCAGTCGCTGCCTCCAAAGTCCGTGCTTTTTCTCTGTTATAAGAGGTATTTAAAGTATCCTTTATGTTTGACATGGTGGTTCCCCCTTTAATCTCAGCTCCTGTGAAGCAGAAGCAGGCAGATCTCTGTGAATCGGGGCCAGACAGAGCTATGTAATAGAGAGATCCTGTCTCAAGAACAACTAGATACAACCACAACAACAAATTAGTATTGCTGGGCAGTGGTGGCATACATCTTTAATCCCAGCACCCTTGGGAGGCAGAGGCAGGTTAGAGTCTGAGTTCAAGGCCAGTCTGGTCTACAGAGCAAGTTCCAGGACAGCCTAGCCTACACAGAGAAACCCTGTCTCAAAAGACCAAAGCAGGGAAAAATCAGTATCATCCATAAGGTTGTAGGGCATGGCAGTGGAATCAGTTGTTGCCCTGTGTGCTGGGACACTCCCCAAACAATAAATAACTCCCTCTCAAAAATATCTGTAGTACCTCTGTAGAAATTCTAAACAGAATTATTCAATACAGAATTATTCCAGGAGTTTTTGCTTTTCAAGACAAGGTTTCTCTGTGTTGTCCTGGCTGTCATGGAACTGGCTTTGTAGACCAGGCTGGCCTTGAACTCAGAGATCCACTTGCCTCTGCCTCCAAGCGCTGGAATTAAAGGCATGCACCACACCAGGGTCCTTCTGTATTTATAGGGCAGTTTCCCTCTAGCCTACAACTAGGTTTTTTGGCCATATCCTTCCTAAATCTGCATTCTTTACCCTCAGGTTGGATCTTCCTCTGATTTTCAAGAGTATCTGTGTAGCCAGATGGCTGTTGGTTATAAATGATCAGATACAGTAGTCATTCTTTCATCCTTTGGCTGTACCAGTTTTCATCACTGGCTCATTAGCCAATAGGTGTGGCAGGTAGATATGCAGAAGTGGCCTGTGCTCTTTAGGTTAGATTGGAAATGGACAGGCTGAAGAGAGGCTCAGTGGTAAGAGTTCACTCTGCTCTTGAAGAGGACCTGAGTTAGCTTCCCAGCACCCATATCAAGTGGCTCACAACTGCCTGTAACTCCAGCTGCAGGGGACCCGATGCCCTTTTCTGGGTTCCCAAGGCATTGGCATTCACACATACATACACATGCACATTCACACACACTCACACATGCATACACACAAATAAAAGTGAAATAAATGTTTCTGGGCTGGACATGGTTGCACATGCCATCTCAGCATTTGGAGGCAGAGGCAGACAGATATCCATGAGTTCAAGCCCAGCCAGATCTATGTAGTGAGATCTTGTCTCAAAAAAAATTTTTTTTTTAAAAATGGACATCAAGAATTTGGCAGTTTGCCTGCAAGTCTGTGTGAGACATTTTAGGGTCATGTTGCTGCTAGAGAACTTACGTTCTCAAATATTCTATGAAAGGGGGGCCAGATAACTGCTATTTTAATTTACCTGGTAAAGTTTCACTATATAGCAGAGGGGGTCCCCACCTCTACCTTCCAAATGCTAGGTTTGCTGGCTTTACAATAATACTTATCCCCAAAAAAGATTCTTCACTAAATTAAAAAAGAGCCTGAGCTAGGCGTGGGGATGCATGTTTATGACCCTAGCACTGGGCGAACAGGCGGAAGGGGCACCATTAGTTCAAAGCCCGCTTGTTCTACATAGTGACACCTGGTTTGAAACAAACCAAGGATTTATTTGGAAATCAAATATGAAATATACAAAAAAGGGGTTTTGTTGTTATTTTGTTTGTTTTTTGAGACAAGGTCTCACTGGATAGCATTGGCTGGTCTGGAACTGGCTATGTAGACTAAGCTGGCCTTGAACCCATAGAAACCCACCTGCCTCTGCCTCCTGAGTGCCCCCGTGCTGGCTGGCTTGTTCATTTTTGTTTTAATTGTTCTTCTTTTTTTTAATTTGGGGAGCAATGCTGGGGTTGAATCCAGGGTTTTGCAGGTGGCAAGTAAGTCTTCTGCCGCTAAGCTCTGTCCTCAGCCCAGCAATTGTACTCTCCTGGAGTCTTGTCAGTAAATTTTTGAGGTCTGGCTTTGTGAGTCCTACCTCTGCCTCTGCGTTCTAGTCTGGTCTAGTGTCAAGTAGCATTACCCTGGCAGGTTGTAGTAGCTTCTGACCATTGAAAGTGGTAGAGGAACCGTGTCGTATTTTACTAGAAGCTCAGTACGCACTGTAGTTGAGAAATGTGGCTAGAACACTGTGTGACTGTGTAACTTCACCTTGTTTAAAGGTGATGCTGTGGAGTCTTCAAAAAGCCCGTCCCGTCTGGATTACGAATTTACAAGAGGATGAAACAGAGGAGATGGAAGGCCCCCAGTCCCCCGGCCGGCTCCTAAACCCCGCACTAGCCCACTCTGTCTCTGTAGCAACATGTGGCAATGTTTTCAGCTGTGGTGCAGAGGATGGTAAGGTGCGCATCTTCAGGGTGATGGGAGTCAAATGTGATCGAGAATTGGGATTTAAGGGTCACACTTTGGGGGTATCCCAGGTCTGCTTTGTGCCCGAGTCCTATCTGCTGCTTACTGGAGGGAATGATGGGAAGATAAGGTTATGGGATGTGAGCAGTGAAATAGAGAAGAAACAGAAGAGTCCTGCAAAGCACGCCCACAGGAAAAAAGCAAAAAGAGCAGCGTGCCCCAAGCAGGGTGAGAACTCCAGTGCCACAGCCGCGGATGAGGAGGGGCCTGCGAGGATTGTGCCAAAGCTCGACATTGAGCATGGAGAAAAAGTGAACTGGCTCTTGAGTACAAAGATAAAAGGGCACCAAAGCCTCTTAGTGGCTGACCAGACGAGCTGTGTGTCTGTGTACCCCTTAAACGAACTTTAGGCCCAATAAAGAGCACTGTAGGAACTCTGATAAAGTCTTTTTGGTTTTTTGTTTGTCTCTTTTGTAGCAGGAATCTTTTTTTTTTTTTTTTTATTTCTTCACTCTCTCAAAATGTCATCTCTTACAAATTGGCCAGAAACATCTGTTAGTAAAACAGAAGAGACACATTTAGAATGAACTCACAGGAAAACATTCAGAAAAAAAGAATATCACAAAATTGAACCAGAAAAGGATTTCAAACAGGGTAGCAGAGGTATTCAGGGAAAATGCTGTGTACTGAATGATAAAATGTCTTCCAGTTAAACATGAATATGAGTAAGCCATATATATATATATTACTGAATTGAGTCCTAAAGAACAAGTACTAAGGCAGCTTTGAACTTACTTGGAGAGACAACTGGGTCTTCTGTTTCACACAGGAAAATAGAAAACAAATCAGTTATTTAGGCAATGTCTCAAAGCTAGAACTGAAAATCACGGTAGCAAATTATTTTCTAATAAAATAGCAAATGTTACTTGTCAAAGTAACTTTTCTGAAGGGAAGAATTCCTGTAATATCTTCTCATTGACTTCATACTCTTCATATGTACAATTAGTGTTCAATCTATATAGCTATAACCAAATACTTGAAGTAGGGTAACTTGTAAAGAATTTAATTAATTCACTTGTAGCAGGAATCTTAAAAGTTCTTATTAATAAAATCAAACCCGAGGCCAGTTATTGGGGTCAATGCTGGTAGATCAGAGAGACAGAACAAGCCACAGCTAACTTCACCTGGCCAGATCCTCAGCTGGTCTTGTTTCCTCAGACTGGAAGCTTCTGTGTCCTCATCCAGAATGAATCTCAGCTGAACTGTGCTGCTCGAAAGCCTGAAGCCTAACCAGCCACATGCTTAACCAGCCAAATGCTGCTAGTTTCTGGTCCTCACGCCTTATATATCTTTCTGCTTTCTACCACCACTCTCTGGGATTAAAGTCTGGCTTTCTGGGATTAAAGGCGTGTGCTTGGCTGTTTCCAATGTGGCCTTAAACTCACAGAGATCCAGAGGGATTTCTGTCTCTGGAATGCTAGGATTAAAGGCGTGTGCTATCACTGCCTAACTAGTGGCTTTTCTGTTCTCTGACCCCAGATAAGGTACACGATATTTTGGGGAACACAATACCACCACACTCTTTCTTGCTTATTAAGACAGCCTCACATTTGTAGCCCAGGCTAGTCTGGAACTCACTACATATCACAGGATGATCTTATATTTGTAGCAATCCTCTTGTCTGAGTCTCTAGATTCTGAGATTACAAGCATAAGCCACCTCTCTGCTCTGCTGACAGAACTGTATTTTGTAATTTTTTAGGTTAAAAAAAAATCTTGCTTTAAACTATTTGTCATATGTAGAATCATATCAATTTGAACAAAAGAAGATCACTAGATAACATTTCATATAGTAAGTGACATTAGAGTTTGGTGAAGAGATTGAGTATTGACTGTCTACCAACTGTTCACTGACTGTTAATTGTGTATGAGATGTTTTACAGTGTTTCATTTTTCCCGCATACACAGTTTGGAACTTTTGACTGTGTTCTTGTCTGATTTTGATATCTTGTCATTTTCCAATGAAAGTAAGATTTTTTTGTTAGATTTTACAACTTAGCATTTTTCCATATTTTTCTTGTTTAAGATTATGATCTTAGGGGCTGAAGAGATGGCTCAGAGGTTAAGAGTACCGGCTGTCTTCCAGAGGTCCTGAGTTCCCAGCAACCACAAGGTGGCTCACAGCCCTCTGTAGTGAGATCTGATGCCCTCTTCTGGCCTGCAGGCATGCATGCAGACAGAGCACTGTATTCATAATAAATAAATAAATAAATCTTTTTTTTTAATTATGACCTTAGAAATAATAATGTATCCAGGTAGATGGTACATGCTTGTAATCCCAGCATTCAGGAACTTGAGCCGATGACCCTGTCCCAGAAAGAGAAAGGTAAACGAAGGAAGGGAAGAGGGAAAGAAAGAAAGGAGAGATGGAGAAAGAAAGGTAGGATAGGGAAGGAAGGGAAAGATGTTTTGGTTTGGCTTTTCTTTTTTCTTTTCTTTTCTTTTTTTTTTTTTTTTTGAGGCAGGTCTTTCTGGATGTCCTATTGCTCACTGTGTAGACCAAGCTGGCCTTGAGCTCACAGAGATCCTCCTGCTTCCACCCCTCCCCAGCCCTAGTGTTGGGATTAAAGGGCTACTCCACCACACCTAGCCAGAGAGATTTTTAAAGATTTATTTATTTATTATGTATACAGTGTTTTGCCTGCATGTATGCTTGCACGCCAGAAGAGGACACTAGATCTTATTACAGATGGTTGTAAGCCACCATGTGGTTGCTGGGAATTGAACTCGGGACCTCTGGAAGAGCAGCCAGTGCTCTTAACCTCTGAGCCACAGAGATATTTTTCTAATGTTTAATAAAAGGTAGACCATTGATGAGGATTCAGTTATTGGCTGTTTGACTGAATGAGCCATGCCTAGGATATTTCTTAGTAGTCATACACTCAAAAAATACTTCGGTAGTTTGGTAGACATAATGCATAGACCCCAGAATTAACAGGCACTCTACACAAGAGTAAATGCGCTCCCTCTTTGATAATCCATCATCTAGTCTCCATTCAACAGCAGCAGTGGGAGTAGCAAGAAATAATGGGAAAACTTTTACCTTTCATGTCAAAGTGTCTTTCATTTAAAAAAAGTCTTTTAAAATTTTGTTGTTGTTGTTTTGTTTTGGTTTTTTCAAGGCAGGGTTTCTCTGTGTAGATTTGGAGCCTGTTCTGGATCTCATTTTATAGACCAGGCTGGCCTCGAACTCACAGAGATCTGCCTGGCTCTACCTCCCAAGTGCTGGGATTAAAGGCGTGCGCCACCACCTGGCAATTTTTTTTTTTTTTAAATAAAGGATGGGTGGTAGTGGTGCATGATGCCTTTAATCCCAGCACTAGGGAGGTAGAGCCTGGTAGATCTCTGTGAATTCGAGGCCAGCCTGGGCTAAAGAGTGAATTCCAGGAAAGGTGCAAAGCTACACAGAGAAACCCTTTCTTTGAAAAACCAAAAAGAAAAAAAAAAAGGTAAAATATTCAAAACTTTAAAAAAAAAATCTAGAGAATGCATAAAGCAAGTGATATACTAATTCAGCAAGAAGATCTATTTATTTTTTAATTTTACTTTATGTGTATGAGTGTTTGCCTGGATGTTGGTCTGTGGAGCCTGGGGAAGTTGATGGATCCTCTGGGATGCCCTGGGACTAGAGTTTAGATAGTTGTGAGCCACCGTGTGGGCTGGAGTCAAGCCAGGGTCCTCTTGAACTGCTAGCAGCCAGTGCTCTTATCTAACTCCTGGAGTCATCTCTCCAGGCCTAAAAGGTTTGTTGTTGTTTCTGTTTCTTTTTCTAATGTGTGTAGCCGAGGCTATCTTTGAACTTGGAATCCTCATACCTCAGTCTTCTGAATGCTGGGGTTGTGGGTATGTGCTTTGTACCATGGCCTCGAGGAGTTGGTTCTGTTTGTTTGTTTGTTTGTTTGTTTGTTTGTTTTGAGACAGGGTTTCTCTGTGTAGCTTTGTGCCTGTCTTGGAATTCACTCTGTAGCCCAGGTTAGCCTCGAACTCAGAGATCCACCTGCCTCTGCCTCCTGAGTGCTGGGATTAAAGACGTGCGCCGCCACCACCACCACTACCACCACCACCACCCGGCTTGGTTCTTTTTGAAACAAGAGTCTTACACAGTGCAGGCAGATCTTGAAGTCACTATATAAAGGAGGATGACCCTGAACTCCTGATTTTCCTGCCTCCACTTCCTAAGTGCTGAGTTACAGGCATGTGCACATGCCTGGCTCTAGAGAAGTTTATGATTGAGTCATTTCTCTGCCTGCTTGTCCAGTGTGAAAGAACCTGCTGTAAAGCCGCCAGCCCCAGACACGTGATTCAGCAGGTGATTTGGTTTTAGTGAAACAGCCTCAGCTCATAGTAAATTAATGCTGTCATTTAAATAGTTGTAATTTGGCTTGCATTTAATAATTTAGATTTGAATTCATAGTTGCTGAAGAACTATATGCATAAGATGCTGATACCTAATGTTGGATTTGGTCATATTTAAGCAACTTTATACACAATTTTAGTATAAGAGTTAGTGATAAACCCTAAACATTTAATAATTTTTTTTCTTTTAAAAGAATGCAGTACTTTAAAAAAAAGGGAGAGAAAAGCCGGTCGGTGATGGCGCATGCCTTTAATCCCAGCACTGGGGAGGCAGAGGCAGGCGGATCTCTGTGAGTTCGAGGCCAGCCTGGAACTACAGAGTAAGATCCAGGAAAGGCGCAAAGCTACACAGAGAAACCCTATCTTGAAAAACCAAAAAAAAAAAAAAGAAGAAGAAGAAGAATGCAGTCATTGGGCCAGATGTGGTGGAGTACACCTTAACCCCAGAACTCTGAAAGCCAAGATAGCAAGATAGGTGCTCTCTCTGTGGCTGCCCTGGTCTACACATTGAGTTCCAGGCCAGCCAGGGCTACATAGTGAGACCCTGTCTCAAAGTAATAACAGTGCAGTCCTCAGACCCTCCAGGTAGCTCCTCAGGTTAACTACTTGCTGTGCAAGCTGCCAATCTGAATTCAACACCCAGAACCCATGTAAGATAGTCGAGGAGAACATCTCCACAAAGACGTCCTCTGACTTTCACGTGTGTTTGTGCTCTCTCTCTCTCTCTCTCTCTCTCTCTCTCTCTCTCTCTCTCTCTCTCTCTCTCTCTCTTCCTCTCTTCCACACACACACACACACACACAGAGTGGACAACCTTGTCTTATTCCTGACTTTAGTGGAATTGCTTTGAGTTCTCTCCATTTGAGGTTGGCTATGGGCTTGCTGTAAACTGCCTTTATTATGTTGAGGCATGTCCCTTGTATCCCTAATCTCTCCAGGACTTTTATCATGAAGGGGTGTTGGATTTTGTCAGCAGCCTTTTCTGCATCTAATGAGATGACCATGTAGTTTTGTCTTTCAATTTG